CAGAAACACGAATCAAAGGGAAAGAGATAGAAGAAGAACTTAACTTAAACTTTCGGATCGAAAGTTAAACTTCTTCTTCCTTGATCTTCTCTCTACAGGGTTTTTCTCCTCATTTCTTCCTTTTCCTCCTTCCCTCTCTAACATTATCTCTCTAGTATATATCACGTGAATATTTCTAACCCCTTTTTACAACCTAAATAAAATAACCTTAACCCTTTTCCCAATTCAAGTCAACTAAAAAAAAAATGAAAATAAAAATATTAAAAAGGTAAGCAAAATATGTTACGTATATAATTTCTGTATATGTTTATTAAATAAATAAATTATACACATTCCATTATTTATTAATGGATTATCCAATAATATTTAAATTACCATAATATTATAAAGTAACTTAAAACATAATACGTATCAAATCTATGTATATTTTTATTATTTAAATAAACATATACATCAGATTAAATATTACTACCCAAATTACCATAAAAGTAATTAATAAATTACTTTCTCTTATATATATGTATATAATATATATATATATATATACATACATTATCCATGGGTAATAATCTATACACATCCAACCTCCTATCCAAGTAGTTCATGGGACCCAATTGGTTGGCCCATTACTACTAACCATAACCATAAAAAAAAAAAAAAATAAAATAATAAAAGAAAAGAAAACATTTAATTTACAATTAATCAAAACACCATTTAAGCACATAATCTAATTAAACAATTAACACATAGACAAATACAAATAATATATAGACACATAATCAAATAATCAAGTAATACCTAATTCAATTAAACACATAAACAATTAGTCAAATAATTAATTAAATAATTAAAAAAGATAATTAAAACAAATAAATAAATACCGAGACTATCCTTTTAAAATTAGGGGTATTACATGGGAAGACTTTGATAGCCCGTGCATGTGCAGCCCAAACCAATGCTACTTTTCTTAAGCTAGCAGGTCCGCAACTTGTACAGGTATGTTCTTTATAGATTATTTTCAATAGTAAATATTTTTTACAATTGAAGAAGAACTTGTTCATGATGCTTTTCAGCTCGTGAAGGAGAAATCTACTTGCATTATTTTTATAGATGAAATTGATGCTATAGGCACAAAGCGATTCGACAATATGCCATATCTCTATTTTATTTGAAATTTACTTAATTTGCCTTGCCAATTTCTGAATCTTGGTGTAATGGAATTTGGGATTGAATACTTAAAGAGGGTAATTGTGTCATAATGGGACTAATTCATTGTAATTCTTTGTTTCAATACAGTGAAGTAAGTGGGGATATAGAGGTTCAACGAACAATGTTGGAGTTACTCAATCAGCTTGAAGGATTTAGTAGCGATGAACGTATAAAGGTGCCTTTACAGATTCATTATCTTTGAACCATGCTTCAGATCCCACCAACAAATGTGCCATTACATAACTAATAAAAATTCTGTTCACTTAATTTATTATCTGAATTTCGTATTCTGGTGAACTGCAGGTGATAGCTGCAACAAATAGAGCTGATATTTTGGATCCTACACTCATGCGATTTGCAGTCCTTTCATAAAGTTTGAAGTATCTCATTTCTCATGATTGATAAAGTTCGTTCCACCCATGATTTTAATGGGGCACAGTTGAAAGCTGTTTGTGTGGAGGGTAGCTCTTCGCCGTGATGCCACTCAGGTCTCTCTTTGTCTCTGTTAGTGTTTTTCTTGGTGAAACATAGATGGAGAAATTTAGTTTTATTTTATTTTATTTTATTTTTATTTTTATTTTTATTGCGTATAAACTTCATTTTATTCAGGAAGTATGATGTCAGTAGTCTGCGAGAATGAAGTTGTACCATGTGATAGGAGCATATAAAAATTGGACAATACTTGCATCCAACCCAGGTTGGATGAAGTTTGTTTAACCTGAGTACGTGGCCCAATCAGGGTATGACACGTGTCATAAATTAATATTAAATTCAGTTGAACATTGCCCATAAATTTTCAGGTATAACCCGTTCCTAATTCGTTCTCTTTGCCTCGCTGCCGAGTCATCCCCTCCATCTTTGACTGCCTCAGGTCTGATTCACGTTTGGTGGCTGTTGGCGAAGAAGCAACCGGTGTTGAGGTGGAAATAAATTCCCTTTAAATATATACATAAATATATATGAAATGGAAATCTCCTGCACCCACGGAGTGATGTGCCCTCCCTAATCCTCCGATATCAGATTGAACATCACAACCCGTCGCTTTCCCTTCAATTTCAGCGACTCCAGGTGCTGGAACTCCTCCATAACTACTTCAGAGAGACCGCTTCGTGGTCACACGAATCGGTCTACTTCTCCCCCAACGAACCCAATCCCCTCCAAGTCGCTCCTCCAGCGTGTAATGACCCGAATCAGTGGATTCGGATTGCTACCGGGTCCTTGCCCTAACCCGAGGTCAACTAGGTCATACACTCCATTTCCTATGTTCAAACCTGTCATAAGACTCACTCCGGAGCTCATAATACTCAAGGGTGCAAGCTTACAATGCTGGTCAACATTTTAGGTTAAAAGGGGCAGTTGGCCGGCTGATGGGCCTTCATCAGCCGGATGCCAAGGCATGATTGCCGGTTGACCTACATGGTCGGTCGGCCGAACCGGTGAAGAAGTTTACAGGCTCTCGGGACTTTCACTATAGGCGTTTCGGTCGGCTAACGATGAGGGTTCGGTCGGCCGAACTTGGAGTTTCGGTTGGCTGATGGAAAAGATCAGCCGGCCGAAGCATGTCTCTGGGCCTTGTACCTCACTGGAATGATCACTGAATGTGGCTACTATCCCTTTTAACTCACACCAAACTTGTATTCCAACCACTTCCTGAATTCACGGCATCAAAATATGATGAAACACAATTAAGTAACCTCAATAATAGACTAGAATATGATCACCATTCCCATTCATCATTAAGTGTACACTTAGTCCCAGATTTACAACATTTGCAATCAAGTGTTATGGTTTAAATACATGTCCATGGTTGACAAAAATAATTACATTTTACTATAATTTGAGACTTTACAAAAATGGAAATACACAAAAGATACAAAATGAACTCCTAGTCATCCTCACGCTTGTGGAAAATCGGCATCCACTACTTCTTTACTGGTTCCTGAAAAATGTTAAATAATGGGGTGAGCGTAAAGCTCAGTAAATGGTGCCTAAGATACGTCTCTTGTGTCCCCGTGAACCTAACCAAAGAATAGAACAAATAGAATTCGGGGTCATGCTATATCGGAAAAACTCAACACAACAGTTAATCTCAATATAAATAATGAGATGTCATGGAATGCAATGTATGCCAATGTTACTTACCATTTTCAACATTCAAAACCATCACTTTCAAACGGTTAATATCTCTCGCCCTTTGGTGACCCCGCAGCGACACGAGAGAATGATTGGCTAGTGTTCCTGACCCTTGGTACCCCCGCGGCGTCATTTTGAGCCCAGCTAGCTCAACCACGCTAGGGCAATCTCCCTAGTTTCCTCTAGGCTATATTAACCCTCCGGCCCTTTGGTGACCCCACAGAGACCAAGTTTTCATAAAACCAATTCATTAAAAACATTTCCCCCAAAATTCCCTCTTTCATTTCAAACAATTCCCTTCATGAAAAACCCAATGATATGCACATGTATATGTCCAATGCTTTCAAGGTCATAGAATTTAGAGAAATTTTACTACACAATTAAACATATTCCATATTCATCATCTAGAGTAATGTATTCACACACTACACATAACAAATCCATATTTAAGCATGCTTTTCACACTAAACAACCCATACTCATAATCATGCATTTTCTAAACAACATTTAGAAGATCTTTAAGATACTTGTCATTCAAATTAAACATGCTTGCAACACTTTATGAGATATGATTCACTAAGGAATAAGAAAAATATAAATTAAGAACCCTTACCTTAAAATGACGCAAAACCCCCAATTTTACACTTCAAACCCTAGGATTTGAGATCCTCCAAATGATGGCCAAATGAAGATTGGCTCTATCAACTCGTAGGCCTCGTTGTGGGCTTCAATTTGCCGCAAACGGCACTTAAAAATACCAAGTATAGAGAGAGAGATCTAGGATTGAAGTTGTAAATGAAAAAGAAAAAGAAAAAGCAAGATAAAGGGGAGAAAGAGAAGACTAGTGGAAGAGAGAAGGAAAATGGAGACCAAACATGGTCTCATTGCCTTTTTGTATGCCAATGGTAGGTCCCACATTTTTCTTTTTATTTTTCCTTTTTCCTTTGTCTTTAATTTACACCACATACATATGCATATACACAACTATATAAAATGCACATAAGACACATCAAATAAAATGCATGGAGTGCAAATGGACCCAATCAAAATCCCCGGATGCAACAATACTGGCAGTGGGTCCCACACGGGACCGTCCGGCCGAAAAAACTGAAAAATGGAAAGAAAAATCACCTTTACATTTCAAAGAGTCCTGGACTCAATGAAATGTCCCAAACAACTCTCAGACACGACCGGCATGCCCCGTAGTGTCCGGTAAGCAAAACAGTAAAAGACGAAAATGCCCTTGCGGCAACAAAATTCCAGAAAAATTGAAAAATGGAAAGAAAAATCACCTTTACATTTCAAAGAGTCCTGGACTCAATGAAATGTCCTAAACAACTCTCAGACACGACCGGCATGCCCCGTAGTGTCCGGTAAGCAAAACAGTAAAAGACGAAAATGCCCTTGCGGCAACAAAATTCCAGAAAAATGAAAAATGCTAAAAATTAGAAACATCACAATCTCCCCAACTTAAAAGGATTTTGTTCCCGAAATCAAGCCATACCTAGGGATGGAAACAACTCTAGGTTCCTGGAACGAACTTGTTGTTCGAACAGCCAAGTAGCCTCCTCGACTCCGTGGTGTCTCCAAAGAACTTTCACTAACTGTACTGTTTTGCCCCTTAACACCTTCTGTCGTGTGTCAAGGATCTGCACTGGTCACTCTTCATAGGAGACATCCTCATCAATGTCCACGTCAACCCAATCTAACACATGAGATGGATCTGGTTCGTACTTTCGTAGCATCGACATATGAAAAACATTGCAAACCCTGTCCATCTGTGGTGGCGAAGCAAGTCTGCAGGCAACTTCTTCTACACGGTCCAAAATCTCAAACGGTCCAATGAATCGTGGCGACAACTTGCCACTCTTTCCCAACCTCATTAAACCCTTCTGTGGAGACACATGCAGAAAAACATGGTCTCCTACCTCATCAAACCCTTCTGTGGAGAGCCTATCTATATAGCTCTTCTGTCGGCTCTGAGTTGTGAGCAATCTCTGTCTGATCAATTTAATCTTCTCGGTAGTCTCGAGTACAATGTCGGGTCCTAAGACGGCCGTCTCGCCCACCTCAGTCCAACAAATTGGAGACCTACAAGGTCTACCGTACAACACCTCAAATGAAGCCATCTCGATGCTCGCCTGATAACTGTTGTTGTAGGCAAACTTAATAAGCGGAAGGTGATCCTCCCAACTATCACCCAAGTCAAGCACACATACCCGAAGCATATCCTCCAAGATCTGGATAATACGCTTCGATGCCATTTGTCTGTAGATGGAATGTTGTACTAAGATGCAACGCTGAGCCAAACGCTGCTTGAAGTCCTTCCCAGAACTTCGAAGTGAACTTGACATCCAATGTAATACCCCTAATTTTAAAAGGATAGTCTCGGTATTTATTTATTTGTTTTAATTGTATTATTTAATTGATTATTTGACTAATTGTTTATGTGTTTAATTGAATAATGTATTACTTGATTATTTGATTATGTGTCTATGTATTATTTGTATTTGTCTATGTGTTAATTGTTTAATTAGATTATGTGCTTAAATGGTGTTTTAATTAATTGTAAATTAAATATTTTCTTTTCTTTTATTATTTTATTTTATTTTTCTTTTATGATTATGGTTAGTAGTAATGGGCCAACCAACTGGGTCCCATGGACTACTTGGATATGAGGTTAGATGTGTATGGATTATTACCCATGTATGGTTGTGCATATATATATATATAGATATATATTATATACATATATAAAAGGGAAAATAATTTATTAATTACTTTTATGGTAACTTTGGTAGTAATATTTAATCTGATGTATATGTTTGATATTTAAATAATAAAAATATACATAGATTTGATACGTGTTATGTTTTAAGTTACTTATAATATTATGATAACTTAAGTATTATTGGATAATCCATTAATAAATAATGGAATGTGTATAATTTATTTAACAAAGATATACATAAATTATATACGTAACATATTTACTCACCTTTTTAATATATATAAAAAGGAAAGTAATTTATTAATTACTTTTATTGTAACTTGGGTAATAATATTTAATCTGATGTATATGTTTTATATTTAATTAATAAAAATATACATAGATTTGATACGTGTTATGTTTTGAGTTACTTTATAATATTATGACAACTTAAGTATTATTGGATAATTCATTAATAAATAATAAGATGTGTATAATTTATTTATTTAATAAAGATATACATAAATTATATACGTAACATACTTTACTTACCTTTTTAATATATATAAAAGGAAAAATAATTTATTAATTACTTTTATGGTAACTTGGGTAGTAATATTCAATCTGATGTATATGTTTTATATTTAAATCATAAAAATATACATAAATTTGATACGTGTTATGTTTTAAGTTACTTTATAATATTATGGTAACTTAAGTATTATTGGATAATCCATTAATAAATAATGGGATGTGTATAATTTATTTATTTAATAAAGATATACATAAATTATATACGTAACATATTTTACTTACCTTTTTAATATTTATTTTTTTAAGTTGACTTGGATTGGGAAAAGGGTTATGGTTATTTTATTAAGCCTATAAATATATAGCTATAGGTTGTAAAAGGGGGTTAGAAATATTCATGTGATATATTCTAGAGAGAGAAAGAGTTAGAGAGGAAAGGAGGAAAAGGAAAGAAGGAGGAGAAAAACCCTGTAGAGAGAAGATCAGGGAAGAAGAAGTGTAACTTTCGATCCGAAAGTTTAAGGCAAGTTCTTCTTCTATCTTTTTCCATTTGATTCGTGTTTCTGTATATGCCTAGGAAATTTCAGGATTTATTAAACACATAAAATTAAATAATTATACATGTTTAATTGGATTAGAACATAGGTTTTATGAAATTGGTTCATATCTGTTCTTGTGTTATGAATTGATAAATGCATGATTTTGATTTGATTTTCGGTGTGAATTTTTATATGTTTAAATTATGTATTTTTCATATCTGTGGAATAATGGAACGTAGAAACATGCCTAGGATTCCTAAACATTAAATAGAAACAAGGTTTGGGTTTAAATAAATATAAATAGACTCAATCATAATGATGCTTGCTATTTGAATATTTTAAACAAACGAATTGGATATGGAGAATGCTTATTTGACGGTATAATAAAATATCATAATGTATAAGATTCAGTTTGTGTAGGACATATGATACATGAAGCTTAAATAAATAATAAGTCATTTATATTTTGTGATAACTTGATATCATATTATCATAGTTATTTATGAATTGTTTGATGTATTTCCTTAATCGTTACATTAATTGTTGGATTGTGTGGTTTAATGCGCCGGTATGGGACAGTGGCATTTTAGGGACGGATTAATTTATCACTTAAGTCTTACCTATTTTATATAAGGGAATGGATTAACTAAAATGTTAAGTCCTACTTATATTCAAGTCAGGTCAGCTGAACAAGTTGAATGACTTATGGAAGATTAATTTATACTGGATAGGATGGTTACTAAATTATATATATATAAGTATGGTGCCATGATATGAGCATGAGTCTCAGGATCAGTGGTTAGGGCGCGTATATCGCCAGGGATGTGTAGCTAGATATAGTGTAGTTGTGTACCCTGGTAGGTCTAGGTACTCATGCCCACTATATGTGCGTTTTGCATGTTGCCTACTATTCAGGTTGAGACAACCCTATAGTCTAGTGAGGTTCCTTTAGTGTGTGTATATATATATATACGGACTACTAGTTACTGTTGGATTGACTAGGATGTATACGTGTATCGGATCTCTACTTGGACTGTAGGAGAGTAGAACTTGTTTGTGGGCCTGACCCACCATTATTTTTCAGGTGTTCGTCAAGAGTAGAAGTTGTTCGTGCTGAGCGGGGATCAATCTATTTCATTCTTCCAATGTTACATAGGAGTTCCTTTATGATTCAGTTTCCTGATTTAGACAATTATTGTTGTCATTTGTTTAGTTTGGATTTTCTAGGGGTCCACACAATATGGATTCCCAAGTTGTATTTTAGAGGATCAGTTGTATCAGAAGAGTTTATTAATTAATAGAAATATATTATGAGGTTTATTATTAGATTATCATTTTAGTTTCTTGTCAGCATTTTATTTATTCTTCTTTATTCTTTTGTACTCTGTGTTCGTTTATTGCCGATTTATTTTTTGATATCCTCGGGTATTCGGGCGTGGGCCTGGCCAACTCGCATTCGGAAATCCGGGGGTATCACACATCCCTATCTGAGACAATGGTTACTGGAACTCCATGTAACCTTACAATCTTCTTCACGTAAAGATTACCAAGTGCCTCTGCATCATCTGTTGCCTTAATAGGTAAAAAGTGAGCCGTCTTGGTCAGTTTATCAATGATGACCCATATGGCCTCGTTGCCTCTCCGTGACTTTGGAAGACTTGTCACAAAATTCATAACAATATGTTCCCATTTCTTTTGCGCTATAGGCAATGGTTGCAATAACCCCGTCGGTTTCTGATGTTTGGCCTTCACCTGTTGACAGGTTAGGCTTCTAGCCACAAACTGTGTAACATCCTTCTTCATCCCATTCCACCAATATTGATGCCTCAAATTGTGATATATCTTAGTACCACCTGCATGAACTGCAAAGCAGGAAGTGTGAAACTCCCGCAAGACATCCTCCCGACAAACTGTGGGAACCACCAACAAACCCCTGAACCGTAGACCCACGTCTGCATGCAAGGTCCAATCTTTCACTGTCTCACCACTAGAGATTAAAGCGTGGATGGCATCGAAATCCGGTTCCTGTCTCTGTGACTCAATCGCTCTTACAATAAGAGTAAGATGAGCCACAAGACTAAACAAGAATACCGATTCGCTGTAACCATCGTCGTCAACATAATACAATCCCATCTCTGCCAGATCATTAAGCATCTTCCATTTCCGAATAGCTAATCTGGCTAAAGTTCCACGAGATTTCCGGCTTAAGGCATCTGCTACCACATTTACTTTGCCCGGATGATACTGCAAATCAAAATTGTAATCATCCAGAAATTCAACCCATCGTCTCTGTCTGTTATTCAAGTCTTTTTGGGAGAAAAGGTACTTGAGACTCTTGTGATCCGAGAATACCTCGAATCTCTCACCATACAAATAGTGTCTCCAACACTTCAGGGCAAACACGACTGCCGCCAACTTCAAATTATGAGTAGGGTAGTTGTACTCATAAGTCTTTAACTGTCGAGACCCATAAGCTACTACTCTACCATCCTGCATCAACACACATCCCAACCCATCACGAAATGCATCACAATAAATCACATATCCCAAGCCACGCTCAGGTATCACCAACACTGGAACTGTAGTCAATCTTGTCTTCAGCTCTTGAAAAGATGACTCACAGGCTTCATTTCACACAAACTTGATTCCTTTTCGGGTCAATCGGGTCATAGAAGCTGCCAAACGGGAGAAATCTTTCACAAATCTCCGATAGTAACCCGCTAGACCAAGGAAACCCTGGATTTCAAAAACATTATTGGGTTGTTCCCAATTCAAGACTGCTTCAACCTTTGATGGATCAACTGACACTTCTCCTTTTGAAACAGCATGCCCCAAAAACTTCACCTCTTGTAGCCAAAACTCACACTTCTCATATTTGGCATACAATCGGTGTTCTCGCAAAATCTGTAGGACAGTACTCAAATAGACCTTGTGCTCCTCTCGAGTCTGTGAGTACACAAGAATGTCATCCACGAAAACTACCACAAACTGGTCTAAGTAATCGTGAAAGACGCGGTTTATCAAGTCCATGAATGCCGCTGGCGATTAGTCAAGCCAAAAGGCATAACAAGGAACTCATTGTGTCTTACTGTGTACGGAACGCTGTCTTTGGGATATCCTTATCCCTAACCCGAAACTGATAATAGCCAGACCTCAAGTTAATTTTCGAGAAACAACTGACTCCCCTCAATTGATCAAATAAATCATCTATCATTGGCAAATGATACTTGTTCTTGATGGTGGCATGATTCAACTTCCGATAATCAATGCACACCCTCAAAGAACCATCTTTCTTCTTAGCAAACAAAATCGGTGAGCCCCATGGCAACACACTCGGTCGGATAAAACCTTTCATCCTCAAATCATTAAGCTGTTTCTTCAAATCTTCCAGCTCAACTGGTGCCATACGATACAGTGCTATAGAAATCGGCGCGATACCGGGCATCAAGTCAATAGTAAACTCCACTTCTCGGTGTGGAGGCAACTGTGATACCCTTCGATTCTAGAGCCACGGGTGATCAAGTCCGGACACAGAACCGAGGGATACCAGACAATCAATATATAAACAAGCAAGAATAAAACTGAATTAAGAATAAAATAATGATACGCTGAAAAGAATTCTAATTGTAAAACCTCCAAAATAAAAGTTTTAATATAAATAAACTTTCCAATCCGTATAACTCGGGAATCCATCTAGTGGACCCCTAATATTTCCAACTGGTAAAACATTTACAGAATTAAAATCCAAAACCAAAATAAGAAAGAAAATCCTATGTAGTCGGAAGAGTGAGTGACTGTATCTGCATCACCACGATCAAACCCTAAGCCTGGTACTCACGAACACCTAAAAAAAAAAAGGTGGGTCAGGCCCACATGCAAGTTCCATCCTACTACAATCCGTACATAAACCCGATACGCAGATACATCCTAGATAGCTCGGCAATATCTACAATAGTCTATAGATATATAAATACACATTATAGGATGCTCACTAGCCTATAACATAGTTCAGCCTGGGTAGAAGGTGACCTATAAAACACGCTTTTCAGCGGCCAAGTACCTAGACCTACCAGGGAACATTTGCTATATCTAGCTACTCAACCTTTGCGATATACGCACCCTAACCGTGATCAGGAGACTCAAGCTCGTATCACAGTACCATAAATATATATATAAATTCCTTCCTAATGCCGAAAGATAAAACAAGCATCCATTATGTCGTTCAACTGTTTTAGTTGACAGGACATGTATCCATGTAGGAGTTAACTATTTTAGTTAATCCATTCCGAATGTAAGAAGGGGTAGGACTTAGCTTTTTGATTTAATCCATCCTTGATATGTCACCGTCCCATACCGGTACATATAATGCAAATGATCCATAAACGATGCACATTCATTAGAACATCAAATAAATCCAGAAACCAGCATACTAGAAAACAGATATTATTAGGATCCTATTATGCATCCAGTATATGATTATAATCATTAATCCCCCAAATAAATTGTTAAAGTATTGATAAACAATTTATATTATCCACATCCATACAATTGATAAAACAGAAGTTAAATAGTTCATCAATTAACATCCATAACCTGTTATAATGATCAGCCAGAAATATGAACTAAATACATTATACTAGATATCCCAAACCATCCTCTCATACTATATTATTTAAATTGCCAAAACAAAGACAAGTAATGAAATCCTCCACAATCCTTAACAGCATGAAAGTTAGCATTTACACCACATGACGTCCCTTTGATCCTCCACTCCAAAACCTGTGCCTGATATAATATGACAATCTGAATTCGAAACTGCTCATTATATGAAACCCCAACAGTATTCCCATACTAGTCCATTTAGTTCGCTAAACCAAAACTAGCAACTAAAATTCCTACCACTCCTGACAGCATACCATTTAATATCTAAGTTGATACTGTCTATGCCCATATCCTACACTGAACTTTCTGGCCTCCATTAAAGTATATAAATAATTTATATAACATCCTAAAAGTAATTCGATACCAGTCAGTTTAAGTTATTAAAACAAACTTATTAACTTAAACATTCATCCTTCCTTGACAGCATGCCTATTCCACGTTTCTGTTTCCTGATGCCCCTTAAGATTAGCACCTTAGCATAAACCAACTATTTAAGGGTCTTAATAGGTTAATTTTAACATATTTGAAACCCCCTTTAATTTTCAGTATTTGCGTTTAACCCCAGAACTCCGGAAAAATTGCAGAAAACACCCCGTAGGGGTTTTTTCCCATGGGAGCCGACTCCCCTTTATTGGAGCCGGCTCCTAGGCTTCTAGAGCTGGCTCCCCCTCATGGAGAGCCGGCTCTCTCTTCATGGGAGCCGGCTCCCACCATTTAGGAGCCGGCTCTCACCCCTGAGAGCCCCTCTGCCTCGTCTCTACTTCGTCCGATGATTTTTTTCTGCGTTTCCGGCGAAGTCCGACGTTCTTGTCCCAAGTATTTTAACATTCCTAGGGTTCAATTTAAATTCTTAAAGCCCTAGAAACTTCTCACCATCCAGCATGCATTAATTGACAAAAATCTAAAACAAAAACAAAACCGTATCCAAAAACGACAATCACAGTTAACTGAACATATGAACAATCTAAAGTCTGATCACATGTGTCATAATTCCATTTTAAAGGTTAATTAACTTCCTAACCATCCTAACAACACCTCACATTCCATTATGAATTAATTTACAAAGGTTTAATACATAATCTAACAATTTATGCAAGGAAAGCCATCTTCGGTTATTATACGTTAACCAAATTTCAGACTAAACTAATATGCATAAAATTTGTTTTAAAAGTTTTAATTAAATTCCTGGAGTCTATTTAGAATGCACAGAACACAAGTTTATAGGAAGGAGAGAATGAAACTTGCCTTTAGGTTTCGGTTTGAAACCTTTCAACGCCGTTGCTAAATTCTCCGACGAACTGTAGACTACCGGCAAATCTCCTACTGCTCCAGTTCTATCTCAGCATCAACCTCTTCCTTCCTCTATGGTCCACCTTTAGTCCATAGCTGAAAGCCTAATTGATTCTCTCTGTGTCCCTTTGTGTTTTTCCCCTCAAACGTCTCTGTTTCTCTCTTCTCTAGTTTTCCTCTGTTTACCTCTCCAGATTATTACGTGAAAAGGGTGTCTCCAAAACCCTTGCAGACAAATATTTTTTTATATATATAGACTCATGCAAAAACCCTAATCCTAATTCCAGCCCAAGTATAAGTCGGCCAACTAAAATACTTAACACCAAAACCCTAAACGTAAATATAACTACAACCATATAACTTAAATCAAATAAGTCACACAACCCATTTAAAAACACATAATAATAAAAAAAAATACCAATTAATCAAATAAATAAAATAAATCCCAATTGCACGTAATTAAGTTAAAATAAATAAACAATATAAAACAAATACACAATACCAATTTTAAACAAGTAAAACAATTAACCACTTAGCCAGATAATCATATTTAAATGCACACAAAATAAATAATCAATTTATCAATTTAAAATGCACATAAATAATTTATTAAATTTCCATTATATCCTTTTGAAAATTAGGGTATTACACAACTCTGTCAAATCCTCCGGAAACACGTCCAGAAAATCACGAACTACCTCCGGATAGTCTTCTCCCACAACATTATCTTCTTCGGCAAAAGACTAGTCAAGAAATAATCTCCACGACTTCGTTCTCAAATTCCATACAATGGTGAAGGCTGGGAATTACTCTGATCTCCTATGAAAAGAAATAATCCCCCTCAGGAGTGCAAACTGTAACTCTACCTCTGAAACAATCAATCGTGGCATGAAAGGAAGCCAACCAATCCATCCCGAGAATGACATCAAAACTAGTCATCTCCAAGAGGATAAGGTCAAACACGAAAGTCCGTCCAACTATCACGATAGAACAATCCCGTACAACTCAATTCAAGAACATCGAAACCCCAACTGGCGTATCAACACACAACGCCTGATCCATGAAACTAACCTCTAACCCCGATGCAAGTACAAATGATGATGATATGAAAGAATGAGATGCACCAGAGTCAAAAAGAATACGAGCCCAAGAACCAAACACTGGAAAGATACCTCGGAGAACTGACGGTCTAGAAGATGCATCAGCCGGTGCGAATGCAAAGTCACGTCCTTGTGGTGTCTGTGCCTGAGAACTGCCACCCTGAATACCGGACTACTGCACTGGCATAATAGAAGCATCCCTCCTAATGGATTGTGAACCCTGAGAAGACATAGCAGGCTGTGGTGGTGGCGGTGGTCTAAAACCTAACTGAACTGTAGTTAACTGTGACGGCCTCTATCGTGACCCTCTGCCACTACCGGTGCCTGCTTCCTGACTAGGACAGTCTCGAATCAAGTGACCCTGCTGGTGACACCCATAGCAAGCCTTTGGAGCTGAAGAAACTGAAGACGATCTCATGGGACAACTGGACTTGTAATGCCCAGGCCGCTGACATTGAAAACAAACAATTCCACTTCTGTCAGGCCCTGCTAGTATAAGAGAGGTAGGAGCAGATCGTGCGGACTGATGCCCCTGAAACTAAAACGAACCACCCTTATTCTTCTTCCAAGAAGATCCTTCTGAAGATGATCCTGCACCTCTCTTTTGCTTCCACTGTTCCCTCCTCGCATCTTTATTTTTGATATCAGCCTCAAGCATCAAATCCCTCTCTACTGCTTCAGAATAAACCTTGATGAACTGTGCCGTTATCAACGGCCTTATTCTATCATAAAGACCGGAAACAAACTTCCGAGTCTTGTTAATTTCATCTCTCACCATTTCCGGAGCAAAGCAAGAAAGTGAAGTGATCTTATTCTCATACTCCGCCACTGATATATTGCCTTGGATAAGGCCGATAAACTGGTCTTTTAACTCCCATCTTTTAGAAATCGAAAAATACTTCTCGTAAAATAATTCCTTAAACTTGTCCTAACTCATTTCTTCTACCTTATGCCGATTCGTAACCGTCTTCCACCAGAGCTTAGCGTCCTTAGCAAACTTGTAAGTAGCTAGGATGATCTTTAAGTGATCCTCTATCACATCCATTGAGGTCAATTGAGTTTCAACTTGATCCATGTAGTGGTCTGCTACCATTGGATCCGCACCGCCCTCAAACATTACTGGCATCAACTGAGAAAACCCCTTAATGATCTTAAGACGCTTCTGAGCTGGCGTCTCCTCAACTTGAACTGTAGGTTGTGGTGCCGGTTGCGGCTGAGCAGAAATTATTGCCCTCACGGCCCTCCGCAACAAGCGATTCAATACCAGTTCCGCAGGACCTTCATCCACTTCTACGGGTGCTTTAACATTATCCCTCATTGTGGGAACACCTCTCGGGGGAATCAAATCCCTAAGAAGGGTGTCCTCATCATTTAGCTCCTCCGAATTGGAGGT